GCCGATATACTGAACGAGTAAAGAAAAAAACATTGCCTAGCTTAAATTAATTGAAAAAAATATCTTCTTATTTATAAAAATACAGACAAAATAATTATAAATAACAGCAACTCTGGAAGTACAAATGAAGTTCAAAGATATCCAAGACTGAATTTCCATCCCAATTTTATGGAGCAGATTTGAGGGGCAGGCGCTTTCTGCTGATAGTCATATGAGCCCTTGACAAGTTTGTTGGATAATAAAGCAGGAAGGTGTTAGTATTCTGCGGAGGCAACAGGACTGTTGAACAGCCTGGAGGGGGTGCTGAGATGTTCATTCTGAGATAGGCTGGATGTGGAGGCCGGGAATGATTGGAAAAGGATCCAAGGTGTCCAAGTGTTGAACAGCAGGTGGTCTGAGCGGCTGAGCTTGCAACATGGCAATCCAGGTGTCTGCCAACAGAGAACACCTGCCTTCAAATAAAGCTATTTCTGCAGTGTCATTCTCTAGCAGACTGTACAAAATTCTGCAAAGAGATGATGTATAAGATGGTGTTTTATCCTTAAAGTCGGCATGAAACGGAAGTTGCGATAGTCTTTTCTTCCCTGTTGTGACATATTCCAGTGAAACCCCTTTTTGAACAAGAAAAAATGTAGGGCTTTGGTTGTGGCTTGCTATTGGTCGATCTCATGTGAGTGACAGGTTGCCCCGCCCTCGCGACAGTAAACATCATCAGAGAAGAGGGAGGGGAAGTTATTTTGATTACAAGGCACACAAATTGGAAAAAAAGAAGAAGATGTGCACAGATACGTCATCATTTATAATAAATAATGCAATATTCCATAAAAAATAAGAATTGAGAGATGAACAAATAACAAAAGTCAGATGGATTATATTAGATACTCAATGTGATTTAAAAAAAAAAAAAAATGTATGGATGGATAATCAAGTATACCTAAATTGCTTAAGTCCAGTAAGTGTTCATCGTGAAATATTAACAATATCAAAGTTATTTTTACGTTTAGATTTCACACAGCACTACCTGAAGGGGGGCATTTTTACATTTATACTAAAAGGCTTTTGCTTGCTATGAAAAAGTATAAACTATCAATCAGACGACAGAAGGCATGTATGAGATTGTGTGCAATATCAGTTTTGATCATGTTGACCATTTAGCGGCCTTAGAAATTAATATCAAATATGAGGGTTAAAGGCTGCTTATTGGATCAATAGAGTATATATGTCATATTATTGAGAGATTAAGGGTTATCCCATTGGCAGACATTTTTTTTTTTTTTGTAAGCAAATATCACTTAGGTTTGAGTTTAAATTTTAAGATTAATGAATAAGATTAATTAATGAGGGAGGGGGGTGGCATCAACAAACATGATATAATATCTTAATTGAGTTTGCTTCTCCAGTAAATGTGTCTAGATTTAAGAATGTTCAGATATTTGTACTGCATGGAAAACACAAAAATACTGAGGAATAAATATTTTTTAGGCAATCAGCGGCCAGATCAAACCAACAACCTTCTGGTGACCAGCTTTGAGCACCATTAAACATCTCTAAAAAAAGCTGTGCTTCAGTCTATTACCTGGAAAATGAACCCATTTAGACATTCTGAAGTGGATGAAGAGGACGCTTCTTCTAAGACAGCATGTCCCGCTCTTGTTGACTAAAGGCTTCGTGCTGCTCAAAGTATCTCTGCAGTCTTTTAAGGGTTCATGTGGGGAACGTACTGGGGTTTCTGGAAGGAATCCAGGCAGTGCGGCCTGTACGAGGACTTTGTTCTTTGGATTGTCAGAGTTCTCAGTCTATCTTTGATCACGATAAAAGCGTCTGCTGACTTTCTTGGAGCTCTGGTCCCCAGTGCGATCAGAACACGAGCCATAGGCTTGTCCTGAAGCAAGCTTTCCCCGTGCCTCTGTTGTTTCATTTGGGGTGTCTGCATGAACAGGCAATGCCACAGGAGGGTTAGAAAGGCATTCAATTTTTCTTTCAGAAGAAGCTTGATCACTAGAGGACTGTCAGAACAGACTTGATGGCACCTCGGGGACATGTTAATAGTCTCAGCGGCAGCGGGATGGTTGACTTCTGTCCTCACTCATCAGCCGGACGCTCGTCATCCAACTCCAATACCCTCAGTTTAATGCAGCACTTGCAAAGGCTCGTCTGGAGAATTCTGTGGCTTGCTGCTATTTTCGGCATCGCTCCATTCTGTGAGATGATACGTTTGCAAATAGCTGCCTTTCTAAGGGAGCGCCGTATTTAAAATGAAACGCCACAAATGACTGACTTAAAAGCATCTATTAAATGCTTAGATGTAAATGTGTTCGTAATGCTCTGAATAGGCTGTAAGTATGCAACACAAATTAGTTGATTCCAATGGAGTTTAAGCTAACAACTCAATAAATACAGTACATGGCATGCACATTTTGAGTAAAGAAGTAAATTTAAATTAGATTAAATAGTTTTATCAATAGTCTCTGGTATTGAATGAAATATGTTATTTTCCTTTGCCTCTATCACATGGCAGCAACTCAATGCATTTAGGCGTGTAGACATGATCACGACGATCTGCTGGAGTTCAGACTGATCAGAATGCGGAAGAAATATGATTTAAGTGGGTTTGAACATGGCATGGTTGTTGGTGCCAGACGGGCTGGTCTGAGGATTTCAGAAACTGCTGATCTACTGGGATTTTCACGCACAGCCATCTCTAGGGTTACAGAGAATGGTCAGAAAAGAGAAAATATCCAGTGAGCGGCAGTTCTGTGGGTGAAAATGCCCTGTTGATGCCAGAGGTCAGAGGAGAATGACCAGACTGGTTCAGCTGATGGAGAACAGTAGCTCAAATAACCACACATTCACCGAGGTCTGCAGAAGAGCATCTCTGAACACACAACACGTCCAACCTTGAAGCAGAAGAGCTCTGGCAGCAGAAGACACACACTGGTGTCACTCCTGTCAGCTGAGAACAGAGACTGAGGCTACGATTCACAAAATTAGACGAAATTAGACAATAGAGGATTGGAAAAACATTGCCTGGTCTGATGAGTCTTACGGAGGCCCCCTAGTCCCACTTTGTCAAAAAATTTATTATAACTATCTCGTGGCCTCAAGATAAGTAACTCGTGGCCTCAAGATAGTATCTCGTGGCCTCAAGATAGCACGAGATAGCCACGAGTTGCTACCTTGAGGCCACGAGTTGCTATCTTGAGGCGACGAGATACTATCTTGAGGCCACGAGTTGCTATCTTGAGGCGACGAGATACTATCTTGAGGCCACGAGTTGCTATCTTGAGGCCACGAGTTGCTATCTTGAGGCCACGAGATACTATCTTGAGGACACGAGTTACTATCTTGAGGCCACGAGTTGCTATCTTGAGGCCACGAGTTGCTATCTTGAGGCGCCGAGATACTATCTTGAGGCCACGAGTTGCTATCTTGAGGCCATGAGTTGCTATCTTGAGGCCACGAGATACTATCTTGAGGCCACGAGTTGCTATCTTGAGGCCATGAGTTGCTATCTTGAGGCCACGAGATACTATCTTGAGGCCACGAGTTGCTATCTTGAGGCCACGAGATGCTATCTTGAGGCCACGAGTTGCTATCTTGAGGCCACGAGTTGCTATCTTGAGGCCACGAGATACTATCTTGAGGCCACGAGTTGCTATCTTGAGGCCACGAGTTGCTATCTTGAGGCCACGAGTTGCTATCTTGAGACCACGAGTTGCTATCTTGAGGCCACGAGTTGCTATCTTGAGGCCACGAGTTGCTATCTTGAGACCACGAGTTGCTATCTTGAGGCCACGAGTTACTTATCTTGAGGCCACGAGTTACTATCTTGAGGCCACGAGATAGTATCTTGAGGCCACGAGATAGTTATAATAATTTTTTGGGACAAAGTGGGGGTTCCGTAGAGTCTCGATTTCTGCTGCAACATTCAGATGGTAGAGTCAGAATTAGGCGTAAACAACATGAAAGATCATGGATCAATCCTGCCTCGTCTCAACGGTTCAGGCTGCTGGTGGTGTAATGATGTGTTATATATCTTCTTGGCACACTTTGGGCTTTTATTGAGCAATTGAGCATTGTTTAAACACCACAGCCTACCTTTCTACCATGACCATCTTCTGATGGCTACTTCCAGCAGGATAACGCCATGTCACAAAGCTCATCTTAAACTGGTCCAGATGTGCTGGAACGGGAGATTTGCATCATGGATGTCCAGCCGACAAATCTACAGAAACTGTGTGATGCGATCATGACAATATGGAGCAAAATCTCTGAATAATGTTTCCAGCACCTTGTTAAATCTCTGCCACGAAGAAGTTCTGAAGGCAAAAGGGGGTCCAACACGGTACTAGCAAGTGCACCTAATAAAGTGGCCGGTCTGTGAGTGAGTGAGTGTGTGTGTGTGTGTGTGTGTGTGTGTGTGTGTGTGTGTGTGTGTGTGTGTGTGTGTGTGTGTGTGTGTGTGTGTGTGTGTGTGTAAAATAACTTAAAACACTAGTCTTCTGCAGTTTCAGCATCTTATTTTTCTCTTCTTCATGAAAAAGTACAAAAACAATGAACTTACACAGCATGTCTCTGAAGACAGAAACAAAATAATCAATAAAGGTCTCATCAGTGTAAACTAGTAAACGTTATGAAGCATTACATGTTACAAAACTAATATGAATAGACAAAGACTATTTTTAGGACCAATAACAAGTTATGTTTTTTTTGCATTGTGGCATTACAATTAAGTATATCCCCATTTGACAAATGTATGATCCTAATTGTTAAAATAATTACATATACATAGATTATAGTTGTATTTGTTGTACAATCATAAATACATTGTATTATAAGAATCTAATGAAAATAATAGATTATAAAACTAATAGTATGAAAAGTAAGGCTGCACTGTGGGAAAATGTGCTTAATTGTCATAAAAAAATGAACAAAGATTTTTTCAATATCGTTTTTTTTTTTAATATTGGAGTAAACTATAAAAGACATGTAAGTGAACCTTATTTTTACAAACCTGATTTATTTGAGGTTAGAAAAGATCACATTATTTTACAGTACAAAACCATGATTCACCAAAACCTCTATCCAGAATAACTGCAGAGATCAGCTGGCAAACACAATCATACACACTAACTAGCTGTAATAGTACACACTCATGGCCCTATGACATCACTTCCTTCTGCTCAGTGTGCAAGAAATCTAACAGGTTTGAGTCTAGGCTTTCCTCATGATGTAAACACAGGGCATTTGGTGACCGCACTTCCTGAGATTTTCTGTCTGATCGTAATAGTTCTCTAAGAAGAGGGTTGTTCAATGTCCGTCTGTGCTTTTGATTGGTCGAGAGTCACTTAACGCAGTTTCCTTTCCCCCTTCTTTTGTCTCTTCTTCTACTTTAACATCTTTCTTGCAGTTTATCTCGCCACCCTGCTCTTTCTTCTTTCGTTTCTTTGGGACAGCGTGTTTATTTTCCTCTATCTTCAGCTCGATCTTTACTTCCTTTTTCCAGGCTCCGAAGGGGAGGATGTCCAGGTCTCCACCTGAGCTTTCACACAGCGTCGGCCCCGCCCACTCAGGAACATCCAATCCCAGCAGCTTCATCAACTGACCCGTGACCTCATCTACGTAGCCATGGATACACAGGTGGGCGTGCTTGTCCTGCAAAAAACAAGTAGCACTGTTAAGTAAAAACAACCCGAGAGATTTTAAAGGAATAGCTTTTAGTTCACTAAAAATTCATGAACATAAATGATGATGAACCATGTTATAAATAAAAAGGCGCCATAAACAAATTGTCAATATGACTTGTGATCTCATGCAATAGCTTTTTGTTTATGACAATTTAAGCCATTATTCACTAAAACACCATCACATATGTATGTACATTGTATGACTTCAGAAATTGGCGACTTTTCAAACGTTTATCATGCTTTATGTCCATCACTTTTTTGTGTTCCACAGAAGGGGGAAAGTCATATGGATTGCAGGATTGGGTAATTTTAATTTTTTGCATGCTCAAACATACCTCGGCATCCGTTCTTGCTTAGGTCTCTCCAGTTCTGGAAAGCTTCCCTAATATTAACAAGGGGCTTAGGCCATCCAGATATCTCTCTTTCTACAGCCTTTCTTCAAATCTCCCTTTCGCTCACTCTCTCTCCTCCCCAATCATGAGTGGACACACCCCCGTGCTGCTGATTGGCTAACTCTCTCTCATCCCCCATCATGAGTCGACACACCCCCGTGCTGCTGATTGGCTAACTCTCTCTCATCCCCAATCATGAGTCGACACACCCCGTGCTGCTGATTGGCTAACTCTCTCTCATCCCCCATCATGAGTGGACACACCCCCGTGCTGCTGATTGGCTAACTCTCTCTCATCCCCAATCATGAGTCGTCACACCCCCGTGCTGCTGATTGGCTAACTCTCTCTCATCCCCCATCATGAGTGGACACACCCCCGTGCTGCTGATTGGCTAACTCTCTCTCATCCCCAATTATGAGTGGACACACCCCGTGCTGCTGATTGTCTCACTCCTCCCCCATCATGAGTCGACACACCCCCGTGCTGCTGATTGTCTCACTCCTCCCCCATCATGAGTGGACACACCCCCGTGCTGCTGATTGGCTAACTCTCTCTCATCCCCCATCATGAGTCGACACACCCCCGTGCTGCTGATTGGCTAACTCTCTCTCATCCCCAATCATGAGTCGACACACCCCCGTGCTGCTGATTGGCTAACTCTCTCTCATCCCCCATCATGAGTCGACACACCCCCGTGCTGCTGATTGGCTAACTCTCTCTTCTCCCCATCATGAGTGGACACACCCCGTGCTGCTGATTGGCTCACTCCCATCCCCAATCATGAGTGGACATGCCCCCTACTGCTGATTGGCTAACTCTCTCTCATCCCCAATCATGAGTGGACACATCCCTGTGCTGCTGATTGGCTCACTCTCTCTCATCCCCAATCATGATTGGACACGACCCCTACTGCTGATTGGCTCACTCTCTCTCATCCCCAATCATGATTGGACACGACCCCTACTGCTGATTGGCTCACTCTCTCTCCTCCCCCATCATGTGTTCACGCCTCGTGCTGCTTATTGGCTCACTCTTGATCCTCCCCAATCATGAGTGGACACACCCCCGTGCTGCTGATTGGCTCACTCTCTCTCCTCCCCAATAATGAGTGGACACACCTCCGTGCTGCTGATTGGCTCACTCACTCTCTCTCCTCCCCCATCATGACTGGACACACCCCTACTGCTGATTGGCTACAAGTTTGTTGTGGTGCTCAGTCCAATCCACTTTCAACAGTTTCTCAGAAATCACTTACTGGGCCTTTAAGAGTTTGATTCAACTGAAATGTAAATTTCCCTAAATAAACTGAACTATTTTTAATAAATCTGAAAAATCATATACACTATGGTTAAAAGTTTGGGGGTCACTAAATTTTTTTTTAAGAAATGAATACTTTTATTCAGCGAGGATGCATTAAATTAATCAAAAGTGACAGCAAAGACTTTAATAACGTTACAAAAGATTTCTGTTTCAAATAAATGCTGTTTGAACTTTCTATTCATCAAAAAATCCTGAAAACAATGCATCACGTTTCCACAAAAAATAAAGCAGCACAACAGTTTTCAACATTGACAATAATCATAAATGTTTCTGGAGCAGCAAATCAGCATATTAGAATGATTTCTGGAGGATCATGTGACACTGAAGACTGGAGTAATGATGCTTTGATTAACAGGAATAAATTACATTTTAAAATATATTCAATTAGAAAGCAGCTATTTCAAATGGTAATAATATTTCAAAATATGACTGTTTTTACTGTATTTTCTGATCAAATAAGTGTAAGCATAAAACTTCTTTCAAAAACATTTAATAAATCTTAACACCCCCAAACTTTTGAACGGTAGTGTATGCGCTCATTGAATGCATTTTTTTTTTTTTTGCATTCTCTGCAAGTCTGTGTGAAATACTATTTACTTTGAATAAACTAACACTTTAATCATCAAACACAGCACAGCCAGATTACCGACATTAAAAAATTGCCCAAGAAATGTCAAATTCTATTCCTTCACATGTTAAGAAGCTATAATACCATAAACTCCCCCTCCCAAAATCTGACATGTGGAATAACACGTTGTATATATGTCAGGCTTTGAATTTCAAACAAGATTTATCGAAAATAAATCCAATTTGGGAACTGAGATGTTGACGAATTGGAACCTTACGAGGTAAGTCGGCAAAAATAACCTTCAGATGAAACATGACTCAAACAGGGGCCGATAACAACACGTCTTAAAATTAATAGGATTAATTCATTAAAAAACATTCCAGCCACATGATGAGATCAGAAAGGAAACGACAGACTGACGATACAAGCTTAGGAGAAAATCCATCTGACTATTTGACGAAGCTGCAAAGCTTCTTAATCAAAGTTGTTTAAATAAAGAAAATGAATGGTGAGAAAGGGTTTAGCGCAGCTGTGCTTTTGCAGGACACTAATGCTGTGTGCTCAGAGCTCACACGTGCTGCTGACAGAATTCAAACTACTATGTATTTGTGAAAGCGTGTGTACTTTTGTGTAGATGAGGACTAAGATAAAGACTGTTAAAAAGCTTCTGAGTTGCTCTGCTGTCTGCACTGAAACTGATTCTTATACACTACTACCGTTTAAAAGGGATTGATAAGATTGTTTTTGAAAGAAGTCTCTTCTGCTCACTCACTGCATATCCTTGATCAAAAATACTGTGAAAACATCATTACAATTTAAAATAAGCATTTTCTATGCGACTATTTCAAAACGTAATTGTTCCTGTGATCAAAGCTGAGTTTTCAGCATCATTACTCCAGTCTTCGGGGTCACATGATCCTTCAGAAATCACTCTAATATGATGATTTGCTGCTCAAGAAACATTTCTGATTATCATCAATGTTGAAAACAGTTGTGCTGCTGCTTTATATTTTTGTGGAAACAATGATGCATGTTTTTCAGGATTATTTGATGAATAGAAAGTTAAAAAATGAACAGCATTTATTTGAATTAGAAGTCTTTAGAAACATTATAAATGCCTTTACTGTCACATTTGAACAATTGAATGCATCCTTACTGAATAAATGTAGTAATTTCTTTAAAAATCTTGCTGACCTCAAACTTTTGAACAGTAATGCTAGTAACTATTAAACACTGTCATACAAACTGCTCCTCAAGTGAGATTTGACGATTCATTTCAAAAGACATCAACATTATTTGTCAAAACTTTGTGCATTTCGAGTGAGACGTACATGCTTTGTAGGCTGAAGGTTGACTATAACCAGCTTTCCTCCCGTGCGTTTGGTTAGAAGAGGAAGATCTCCACTAGGTTTAATTTGAAGAGATGTACCCAAGGTCAAGGCCAGGTCAGCTCGCCTGTGAAGAGAGACACAATATCAGCTGCTGGGTCTGTCGTTCTTTACTCAGGATTGGTGAGTAGGTTCATTCACATTAGTCTCATCCTCAGGCCATCTGAGTCATAATGCACACACAAATGTCACGCTTCTGGAAGTGTGACTGTCCTTTTAATGGTCTTTTCCTGCTTCATTAAGACCAATGAAAGGCTTAATTCTTCAAGTGGTCATTATGTAAGCAATAAGGTACGAGAGGCTGTGCTGTATCGGGAATAAGTCACGGCTGAAGGGCGATGTTAGCTACAATATCAATGAGAACCTCTGTTTACGTAGCTAAGAGTGGTTGCTAGGGGGATTGTGTAGTGATACATAGAACCGTTGGGTGAAGCGGCCATTGCTGTGTTTTATCGGGAATAAAACACAGCTATTGACCAATCAGAATCAAGGACTGGAACTAACAGTTTTATAAACCGCAAATAAACTATCTAATCACAAACAATCTGTTGTTTCAATATAGTTTCTTCTTTGATTTCATTCATCATCATTTATTAATTAAAATTTCTATCATTAATATGCAAAACCTGTAAAGAACATGATATCTCAGTCATATTTTAACTCCAAGGCAAAAGAAAAAAAATAGGAAATTATATTTCACATAAAGAAAGAATTTGTTTGACGGTTTGGACTGTTGTAATGACAATACTGTAATGGTCAACAAAAAAAATCCCATTCTCATTTTTGTAAAAAATAAAATAATAAATTGTACTGCTTTTCAATGTCTAATATTATTTGATTATAGCTTTTATTTTTATATTTTCAGTTTTTTAATGCTAGTTAAAATTTCAATTATTTTTATATTTTATAATCTTTCATTTATTTTTAGTTCAGTTTTAATAATTGACGCACTTGAATTTTTTTTTTTAGTTTAGTAATTTAGTTTTCATCTAGTATTTATATTTAATTTGATTTCAATCTGAAGGGTTGGTCAAAATCCCTTGCCTCTTCAAATACATATATAATCATATATCATTTTGAATGGTTATATACTTCCTTTATAAAAATCAATAATCAAATATATTCATTATCACATAATAATTTTTATATTCTTTGTGCCTGTGAAATTATATTTTCTTAAATGCATGGATGCAAGTAACCAGTTTCTTTTAGGTGCATTCCAATCTTACTTTGAGATTGCACGTAGTACACGCAGGACACGAAGGCCACGTAACCCACAAGGCCGTTTGTCTCTTTCTCTGGGATCAGTAGAAAGGTTAGAGGGTCCTAAAGGCAGCGTGGGCACATATGATTCTTCGCTGGACATATAGTCAAGCTATATTGAGCGTTACTATCAAACTTTAATTGTTGTATTAAAATGTATTCTTTCCAGTATATTTCCTTCCTTGGGAGTAAATGCCAGTGATCTGTTTTTCTCCCAAACGAGTGAATGTTTTAGCATTATGTTTTGGTATACTTAACTGATAATAAGGAGCTCAGACTCTCTTCAGCCTTGATGGGAGCTGTTATTTGCTAGTGTCTGTTATTTGTGTGTGTGCGTATGACATTCTATGTAGGTTCTGGACGGTCGGACCAGACACCCCGGCGCCCTTCTCTAACCTGCGAGGCCACCACAGACCTAAATCTAATGAGTGGACGACAACTATCTTGACTAATGGCGATAGGCACCCCTATCTCCTCACATGTGTTAAATTGTTTAGGCTCTTAATGTTTCTTAGCCAATGAGAATCATTCAACCTGTAAGCAATGACGTAGCTTAGACCTTGGAAATGGTATAACTGCTGTGATCTTTGTAACTGTAAGCGGGGCGGCCTACGAACTCCTATGTGAGTCTTGAAGCTGACTTCTGCTGATGAGAATGCAAACTATCTTCAGTAAAACTTTTCTTTAATTTTTTTATAATTCTGACTCCGGGTCTTCATTCTTCATATCTGGTTCTGGGTCTTTGACTGTACACCCCTTACAGTTATGGTGGAGGATGCGCTGGCAATTATTCTCGGTGACACCCCTGGCAAATCAACAAACAAGGTAGTAAGCTTTTGTTAATTGTTAGGGCTGTCTGACTGGAAGAGATTTTGAAGGAGAGCGGGAGAGCTTCACTCCGATGAGGCGAGTGAAGCTTCACTCCGATGAGGCGAGTGAAGGAGTAAGTTAATTATACTGCTGACAGTATAAGAAGTCGCTGAGAGCGTCGTTAAGGGTAGCGGCAGCAGACAGCGAAAGCGAAGCGTGCTCTGTGGGGGCCCCGCTGGGCATTACTGGTGTAGCACCACCCCAGCAGAGCACGTCCCTGGGCTAGAGGTCCAGTGGCACCGTAAACCTGCTCAATCTCTTCCATCTCAGATAGGGGATCCCCGAACTTAGTGAAGTGAATCAGGCAGTTAGGGATACTAACAATAATAGGGTTGTTTGCCAGGGATGCATCAGGAACAATTCCGAGAGAAAAATTTAAAAAGTTGTGACCCAAATTGGCATGGACCAGTATATGTAACTGTGATTTTGGAGTATACTTTGCAGTTTCATCACGCAGAAGCCAAGCTGTGTTGTGCAAAGATCGCCGCCTCCATTTCTGCAATAACTTCAGGTGAGTATGAACTATGATTAAGATATGAAAAAAAAATGTAAAAAAAAAAAATGTAATAACTTAATCAGTAACCTGAAGAGTCCTGAAACAAATAGTGAGTCAGGAAAAGCAAACGCTGTAAGCAGCTGTGCTCTAAAGCCCTCACTTTAAATAAATTTGCAGAAATGATTAAGTAAATGGTAGTCAGGATTTTGATTCTGATTGGAAATTTAAACAACTTGACTGGCTACAAACAAACAAAGAAACAGAAAAATTAAAATGTTTAGCCTCGTATTGCTTACGATGATTACAAGAAGCAAGTGAAAGAAATTCTGGGTCAGGGATAATTTCCCTGGACAAGCGACTAAAGTTAAACAGACACTTTGTGAAAACAACTTAGAATATTTTGCAGCTTATGAAAATTAATGTTCTGCCAATAATAATGATGAAGATTATGATTGGGCTATTATGATTAAATCCGCCACTGGTGGACTGTAAAAGAATACAGAGAACTGCTTAATCAGTGGCTCTGTTTACATTCCTGAATGGGACACACACTGCTTCAAGGGCGTGCAGTAAGTTGGAGCCGTTGAGGCTGACACATGAACCCTTTTGAAGAAAAGATCTATAATACTAATTTTTATAAGTGAATTGATGAATACAGGTTGATGTAAAATGAATGACTCCAACAAATGTGAGTTGCAGAATATATCAAAGTAACTAAAAGGATGATTGTGTTGCAATTAAAATTTTTAAAAAGATTTTAGATGATATAGAGAGACTAATCTCACAGATGATTTACAATAACTGCAAAAGTATCACAAGCAGAGAGTGCTTGCCTCGTCAAACTTAGTGTGTGAATCCTAATTGGAGATTGATAAACTCCAAGAGAAATCTTAAGTCAAATATTAAACTATGGTTGAGAACTTGACAATTAAAATTGAGATTGAGAAATGTGAAACGTTATTGAGAACTAGAATAATTATTTTTATGTAAGAACAAATAAGCAGAAGCAGTACTGGATTAACAGTTGCTGAATGCTGATTAAACAAACAGCTTGAAAAGTTGACCATGAAAGAACTAGAAGCTGATGTTTTGCTTTCAAAAGATAAGTTTGTTATTGGCTGTAATGAAACAGTTTGCTTATCTGAATCTGATGTGTGCTGTGGCTGAAACTGCCAGTGCAACAGACTCAATCTGAGTGGAAATTTGTAATGCCTAAATTTCCTGATGTGTGGGCAAAAGACAAATATAAATAATATGTTTATTTGAAACCGTATGTAATATCTGGCAAAGATGCCTTAAGCTGGGATAGAGTTAAAAGATGGTAGATAAAGTTAGACGTTCAGAGTGCAGTGTACCAGTCCCTCTCTCATTCAATGTCTCTCTCTCAGTCAATGTCAGCTAAAAGCTGTTACCTGAGTCGGTGTCATAAGTGATAATAAGCTATTTGTAGTGACATCTTTGATTAGGTTATTTTAGGACCAGTAACTTCTTTGTCTGATCTTAGTCCCCACCATGAAACGGGGGAGGGGCCGACGGAAATGTACACTGAATGTACGGTTGTGATCTAAATTCACTGAGTATAATCCAAGTAGCTAGGTTGCTGCTTTTAAGATAGTTAATGGATTTAAGTGATTAAATACTGTTGTTATTGACCTGTCTCCCTATGTGAACACTATTAGGCAATCCGAATGGCTCTGGTGACTCTTGAACGTGCCTTTCCTAAGCTCCAGAAAACAGCTGAGTTCTGTTGAAGCAAACAGCCTGTGATGGGAAAGAGCGGTCACCAGTGGGCACGAGTGACCATCTCTATGACGGGTAAGACCTTCTATTGGCCAGACAGGGGGCAACCCAAGCCAGAGTGGATCACGTAAAGTCACTGGGCATCTCAAGATGGAGGTGTTTATGTGAGAAAGGTATGAGAGTGGAGCGGATGACTGTGAGGCCAGCAGCATCCTTTATCGTTAGGGCGGATGAGCTGTGAGGAGTTACAGGCAGTCTGACCCAGAAACGTGAGTGTTCCTCTATACCAATCACCAGAAACCGCATTCATTGTATGGCTTGTTTTTTTATTGTGACAAGCGTCTGCAAATATGCCAGGGGAAAACACCCTGATGGAGATTATAGATAAAGGGCTAACAGGAGTGGGCTTTCAAGAGCCAGCTGAGGCCATGAAGTGATTCCCATTAGTTGTTGTGGAGACAGTAGCAAAACTTTTTATGTACTGGTTTGCCTTATGGGCAAGGAAAATCATAGTGTTGATTTTGAACTAATAGGTCTATGACATAGTTTTAACTCCTGAAGGTCGTTAGACATGGTGGTGGCTAAAGATGAAGACAGCTTTTGTAGATTTGAGAAAAATCTGGATAACAAGGTGAATGGTCAAAGGTTATTGTAATTAATTTAATATTACATTTTGTCTAAGTTACAGCCTTAGAAGG